ATGTATAAGATGCTTCGAGCCAAAAAAGCGATTCGGGATATAATTATGGACAGATGGGCCAGGCACTTAAACGTGGACAGATCCCTCCTAGCGCCGATTAAATGGTTCGGTGAAAATAAGGCGATACCAGCAAAAACCGCATCCTTGGAGTGGCAGATTGCTCACCACTGTCTGCCAACGAATGTCTGGGTGATTGACCACACCCACCTGGAGCAAAAGGGGATGGCACTCCCATGGTGCCAGAGGTGTCTCACAACCTTCCCTTCACAAAGATGGAACGGGACTATCGAACATATTTTTATGCAATGTCCGATGGCACTGCTGACATGGCACTAGTGGGACCGTATTTGGCAAAAAATGACATCAGAAACGCCCTGGCCATGGGGGTGAGTGTGGTTGGGTACACCATGTCGCGGGATCTCCGTGCTGGGGTGGGGTGAAGTGCTCATCTTGGGGCTTCACTTTCACCCCAGCCCACTTAGCCTTATGGTTGGGTGTTTGTCTGCCGAGCCGTTGGTTGTGTGTTCGAGTTTTGTGTTCGGATTACACGTGCTTTCGCGCAGTAATCGTTGTAGAGATTATACTATGAACCATGTGGCTGCGTAGGGGTGAGTGTGTTTGGGTACACCGTGTTGCGGGATCTCCGTGCTGGGGTGGGGTGAAGTGCTCATCTTGGGGCTTCACTTTCACCTTAGCCCACTTAGCCTTATGGTTAGGTGTTTGTCTGTCGGGCCGTTGGTTGTGTGTTCGAGTCTTGTATTCGGAGTCTGGATGAGTTCATTAAATATTTTAATTGGACTGTCATTCTAAGTAAGGATTTTCAGTCAAAATTTTTGCCATCTTAATCATATCCACGTCCAACCGCCCTCTCTATTCATCATTAAAAGAGAATGCACTAGAGAACTCTTGACAACTTTGAAGATATATTCTTTCTCTTTAGGCACAATTTGAGTCTTGTATTCGGATTACACGTGCTTTCCCGCAGTAACTGCCGTAGAGATTATACTATGAACCGTGTGGCTGCGTAGGGGTGAGTGTGGTTGGGTACACCGGATCGCGGGATCTCCGTGGTGGGGTGGGGTGAAGTGCTCATCTTGGGGCTTCACTTTCACCCCAACCCACTTAGCCTTCTGGTTAGGTGTTTGTCTGCCGAGCCGTTGGTTGCGTGTTCGAGTCTTGTATTCGGATTACACATGGTCTTGGCGGCCATACTGGCAGGTCATTACCTGACACTAGCACAAGTATCCACCTTTGCAGACAACCTATACAGACTGGGCAGACGGACAATCATGTGGGCACTCTAGTGGCAGCGCTGCACCTTAGCTTTGGAAGGGGTAAGAGTGGAGGGCCCCGAACTGACAGGGCAGATAAAGGAGCTCATCGAACTAGAGTCAAGGCGAAGGTGGAACAAGTCAAACCCTAACTCGATATCTTCCAAACTGACTGGGCCATCAAGTGAGCAATCACGAGTTTTTGTATGGAGTGGTCGGGGGGACACCAGGGGGACTAGATAGCACGGGTTGAGTGGGGTGGGCCCGGCCGGTGTATGGGCAAGGTACTGGCTGGCGGTTTAACAGAGTGATATCAACATTTAATCAAAAACGCTCTTCACAATGGTGATGGCGAGCAGCATATCGTAGTAAACAAGCAACCACACCAGAGGCAAGGTCGAACTTCGCTGAATATTCACTTCGGACTCAGGCTACCAGAGTGGCCCGGGACCACTTGCCCGGCCGGGCCCAAAAAGAATCAAAAATTAAAAATATAAAAAGTTTCACCTCTAAGAGTCACACGTACTCCTACTGGCCTTTTTTTTCTCATTTGAAAACCAGCTATAGCTTTCCTTGCCCGAGCCACAATAGGTTTCTGACTAGCTATAATAGATCATTATTTTTATGTTTTTTTGTATTTCAAATTGATTAAATAATAAATTTGGTAATGAATTTCGATGTGATCCTAAGGCAAAAGTTGTTCAGTTTACTTTTCTGCATTGCATAGTTTTGTTTCGTTTTTTCTTTTAGCTGGGACCTTCCCTGGTCCTTGCACGGCCGGGCCGCCCGGGAAAAAGGGGTACCCCCGGCGGCCTGGCTGGTAGCCTAGCTTCTAACCATTGATCTAGGCAATCGAACCGTCAACCAAACCTAATATCAGGGGTAGTGGGACTTGCCCCTAAGTCCATCACACACTGGTTATGCGAGTTGTGGGTAGGTAGCATCAGGTCCAACAAATCAGTTATGTTTTCAGCTAGGCCACCAGCCGAGCCCCCGGGTCACCCTATTTTCCCGGCCAGCCTGGCCGTGCAAGGACCAGGGAAGGTCCCAGCCAAACCGAAAAAAAAAGGTATGTTATGCAGAAAAATAAACTGAACAACTTTTGCCTCACGGTCACATCAAAATTCTTTACCAAATTTAAAATAAAAAATTTAATTAATATATAATATATCGTCAAATAGAATATATCGTCACATATATATATATACAGGGTAACCGGCGTTCGGGACGGGCCAAACACCGGAACCCAAACGCCCGAACGTGCAGGGCCCCTTGGGGATGAGTTCGGCCGTTCGGGCCGAACGCGGACCCAAAAAAAAAAAAAAAAAAAAAAAAAAATCTAAAGAAAAGATATGTTATGAAGAAAAATACAATAAACCTAGGCTACCAGAGTGGCCCGGGGTCACTTGCCCGGCCAGGCCAAAAAAAAATAAAAATTAAAAAATAAAAATTAAAAATTAAAAATTAAAAAATAAAAATTAAAAATTAAAAATTAAAAAATAAAAAGATATTTTATTTTTTTTTAATTTTTATTCTAAATTTGGTGAAGAATTTCGATGTGACCCTGAGGCGAAAGTTGTTCAGTTTATTTTTCTGCATAACATAGTTTTTTTTTTGGATTTTTTGGAATTTGTTTTTTTGCTTCTGTTTTTCGCTGGGACCTTCTCTGGTCCTTGCACGGGCTGGCCACCCGGGACCCGGGCGGCCCGGCTGGTAGCCTAGGCGAGAGCGATATGCAGAAAACCAAGTTGCAAAATCACGCAGAAGTCAAGATAGTCATGTAACGAGAAGAGAGCTCAAATTCACCAAGATTCCATCCAAATAAGAGCAATACAATGAACTCGTGAGCCAATGTTTAAGCCCTTAGGCCACACCAATGCAGTATTCAATGTCGCTCCTCTCTGTCTGGCGGCCAGCGCCCAGCCTACTCCACTGGTCCTATCTATCCTACCTAGGTTCATGCAACAGGCCCATTTCGACAACGAAGACCAATGTACATGATGTCAACACCAATGTTAACCTCCCACATACACCAAGCACGTACTCTAGTCTCCCTCATCATCCCCTGTCCGCCCACTTCTCCACCTCCTCCCAAAGACCACCGTCGCCCTCCTCTGCCCTCGCGCCCTGCAGCCCGGCTATGGCCACTAGCGCCCCTGCTGCCCTGCAGCGCCCATCACCACTTGGCGCCCGTGCGCGCCCCAGCCAGCAATGTGCATGCAGATGCTTGCAAGCGCAGCAGCGTGTCCGCATGGCCTTCCTAGGCCAGACTACCCTTCCCTGGCTGGCTTGCTTCCTATCTGGAAGTGCCCAGCTGCTGCTGGACTCCCTGGGCCTGGCCGTGGAAGTTTCCAGTAGCTTCCGGTCGGGCCCCAGTGTCTGCGCCCAGGCCCATCTTCGACAGTTGACGGCCTGGGCCCTTTTCAGTTGGGCAAACCCAGATTTTTCCAGGCTCGGACTGTTTGCTGCATTTGCACTGGCTCACGGGGTAGATACGACGACAATGCTGCTTTCTCGTTGGCCCGTGGCCACTTTCGTGATGTGTCGGCCTCACGATGCGTATGCCCAGGGAACAACGACCCGTGCCCTGGGCTCAACTGCCTGGCGCAGTTGCTTCTTCTGGAAGAGCCCAAGGTAAAGCTCAGCTTGCACTTCAACCAACTGCCGTGCAGCGATTGTCTGAGACCCGTATTGGAAAGCACTGAGACAAAGGGCCTCTCGCGAATATCCAGGCCCGCCTTCACTTAGGGCAGGCACGAGGCTTGGTGGGACGGGCACATTTCAGAACATATGCATGTTGCCTAGGGGCCCCTGAGGACACAGTCCTCACTTTTTTTTTTTTTGGGGAAAAAAAAGAAGGCGGTTCCATTCAAGGTTTCCCTTTCCCTCACAGCATAGCTGGTGCGGTTGAACGAGTGTTTTTATTGGGCAAAAAAAAAAAAAAAAAAAAGGCAACAGCACTGAGCGCACCACACACGCGTGCCCAGTGCACACTTTTCTCCACAGAATTTTCTTTTCCTGAAATGCTATTTAGGTTGAGCCACAAAAAACTTTTAAAAAGCGGAACAAGAAAAACACTTTTCCTCTACAGGTTTTCTTTGTCATGAAATGTTATTCAGGGTGAGAGCCACAAGAAGGCCAAAAAGAAAAAGCTAAGGCGGGAGCCACACCATGACATTTAGCGTCGTTACCCACACTTCCTTCCAATGTGTCTTTTTTTTCTTTTTCCTTCTTTTTTTTGTCTGAAATCCAATGCCTGGCCACAATGTGGGGACCGCCACAAAGGAGAAAGACCAAGACAGGGCATCAATCGTCTGTGACACACTGAAGTTGAGGACCTGCCTGACCATCACAGCAAACAAATACATGGGTGAAATGGGTGAAAAGAGGGGCAGAGGGGGGCGGAGAGGTGGAGGGTGTAAACCCGGTAGAGTCGCAAAGTTTTTTTTTTCCGCAAAACAGGTCGGTGGACACCGGCTCACATAAAAAATGTGGCTGGAAAAGGCCACATTTTCCGCCAGGTCACCTCTCAGCAAGCGAACGGTCTGTCTCGAAAATGCGGAGAAACTTCCACAAACTCAGGAAACAGAGTTTTTTTTCAAGGACTTAAAAGTCCTGAAAGAAGAAGGCGAAAGAATTAAAAAAAGAAAAGTCCCGAAAGAATAGTTTGTACCGGACGCCTCTTCTTCATTGTTTCCCGCCACTCGTCTACAGAAGGTGAAACCACTGTGCAATGTGCATTCTTTACTTTTTTTTTTTTTTTTTTTTTTTTTTTTGGGTTACATGGCTCCAATCTATTGGTGGGGAGCTGCACCTGCTGGGAACCGGGTCCAGCGTCCCACTAAGAAGAAACCACTGTACATACTCCTCTGTGGGGGGGAAGCAATGCTTTCCCCCAACAATACCGATATCGATCACAAGCAGGCTACATCGATGCTATTTCTCGATTTATGCGTGTCATCCTTGCGCACGGGCCCATTCTAATCTTCTTGGTCTGTATCGTTCCAATTTTAACGGATGTCCCGAAGGACGACCTCAATGATTTCCCCCACAGTGAGCAGAGGGTTCTCCGGTGGTAAAAAAACACGTGTACTTCGTGAGTTATGTTCATGAACACTCATCTTCATTGCATTGTTGAAAGTAGGGAACAGCCATCGACATTCTCGTCGTACCTGACAGGGTGTAATCATCTTCTAGGCTTTGTTGGGATTTGAACCCGCGACTTCCGGCGTGACGGACACTGATTCGCTGACATCTAGAGGTGCCTACCGTTCAGCTAATGGTCAGCAACAAGATACACATCTCCACCTCCTCATCTAAAGACCCCAATAACCCTGATGAAAAGGGGGGTCATACTTTCTCCTTCTCCCTCCCTCTGACCGCACTGCTTTCATTTTTTTTCTGCTCTTTCAAGAAAAACGGAGTTTTTTTAATAAAAAACAGAATCAGCCGCTTGGTCAGCTGTCGCGTCTTCGATTCAACCTCCATCTCATTCTCGATAAACATGCAACAATCACTCTGGAAGGGGTCACCCTTTCTCCTGGCCAGTGCCCTCTACATTATCTTCGCTTTCAGAGCCCACAAATGACCGTAACCTTGGGTCAACTCTTGAGTCAACTGCTGAGTCAACTGCTGAGTCAACTGCTAAGTCAACTGCTGAGTCAACTGCTGAGTCAACTGCTGAGTCCAGTGCCAAGTCCAGTGCCGAGTCCAGTGCCGAGTCACTGACCCAACGTTGAGTCAAATGCTAAGTTGACTTCCGAGTAATCTACTGAGTCGACTGCCAAGTCAACTGCTGAGTCCACTGCCGAGTTGGCTGCTGAGTCAACTGCTAAGTCAACTTCTGAGTCAACTCTCGTGTCAACTCGCGAGTCAACTGCTGAGTCCAGTGCCGTGTCCAATGCCGAGTCAACTGCTGAGTCAACTGCTGAGTCAACTGCTGAGTCAACTGCTGAGTCAACTGCTGAGTCAACTGCTGAGTCAGTTGCTGAGTCAGTTGCTGAGTCTAGTGCCAAGTCAACTGCTGAGTCCACTGGCGAGTCGACTGCTGAGTCGGCTGCTGAGTCAACTGATAAGTCAACCATTCTGGAAAGCTCATCCTTTCTCCTGGCCAGTGCCCTCTACATTATCGTCGATTTCAGAGTCTGCAGATGACCTTGACGCTGGGTCAGCCGTTGAGTCAAACGCTGAGTTGACTGCTGAGTTAGCTTCTGAGTTGACTCTGGAGTGAACCGCTGAGTCCAGAGCTGCAGTGACTAATGAGTCAACTGCTGAGCCGACTGCGGAGTCAACCGAATCAACACCCATACCTAGCCAATTCCTGACTTCTGGCCTGCAAAGCCACCTCTTCACGATCGCAGTATTCGCGACCAGGAAATCCGGACTCCTTCCTGTCAGCTTGAAAGGAGAATCGAGATCTTTCAGTGCGTGGACCGGAGGTTTCTGCCACAGCTGCGCGACCGGTACTTGTGTCGCCGTGCCTTCCTGCTTTCTGATTCGAATCCGTCGTTCATCCCCGACAACAATCTGTGCTACTTTATTCAATCCGTGGCGCGAAACTATCTCCCGTAACCAAAGACGTAGGGCCACATTCGCCGCATGATCTTTACGGAACCAGCAAAGATCCAACTTCATTGTGTGGGAGTTCCCCATTTGTCCTTCCTCCCCAGTGGGACCAAAAGGGAACACTCCATGTCCCATAGCTAGCAGCATGACCTTCTCCGCCGTTTGCCGTCTGTTCCATTGCCATAACAAATCAACCAGAGAGTCGTAAAGGTCTCGCTCATCGTCGACCTCCACCCTCGCTCCAATTTTCATCAGCCATTCTGCAATAGCACCCCATTCCATCGAGCTGCCAACTCGTTGTCCGTCTTCGTTCCCGATCAGATGGCGAAGCACTCTTGCCGCCATTGGGTCCCACACATCCAGCCATGCGTTTGTTTCCAACACAATTCTCTCACCGTCCGGCTGAAGGACCCCCACGCTGGCGGCTCCGGTGAGCGCCGACACTGCAACCTGCAGGACCCCAGCGGCCGGTACTTCACCTGGCGCTTCGCCCGCCATTTCCAGGGCCCGCTTTGCCTTCTCCAACTTTAGATCATTCGTATAGTACCCAGCCATCCACACGTAAGAGCTTTTGTCGATCGTGCACCCTGATTCTTGTAATTGCTTAACCTTTGCTTCCATCAGGTCCATCTTTCCCGCTCGTCCGTACGCATCCAACACAATCTTGGAGGTTTGCGAAGTTGGGCGGAACCCATTGGATGTCGACTCGAAGAGCCAATTCTCCATTTGCTCGAACAGACCTGCTCTTCCGTATGCTCGCATAAAAGCATGGCACAGTTGTGCGTCTGTTCCGCCCGCCGAGCTCACGAACTCAACCTTCACCCTTTCTATCTCCTTGAAAAGTCCCGCACGTGCATAGGCTGCAATGACTGCTGCAATCGTCTCATTACTCGGTTTCATGCGAGTCTTCCGTATATCTTCTAAGGCTTTCACCATCTTCCCCAACCGACCAGACCTTGCGTAACCAATCGCCAGCGCGTTCCACGTGTCCCAGCTCGGCGTGCACCCCGCTCTCCGCATCTCGTTCCACACGCTCTCCATCTTTCTCCACCGTCCACCGCCTGCACAAATATGAAGCATTGAGCTGTACAGCGGCTCGTTACCCTGCACCTGAGCTAACTGGAGCTCTTTCCACACCCTCTCGGCGTCTCTGTACCGTCGTTCCCGTCTGTAGAGCTCGAGCACGGTTCGGTAAAACATCGCGTCGACCGGTCTTCGCTGCGGCAAATCCCAAATCTTTTCGAGCACTCTTTCCACCTTATCCATCTCGCCCGCGTTCCCATATGCGCCGATCATAACCGATATCACGTGCGCGTTCGGACGGAAGCCTGCTGCTACCATCTCTCCAAACACCTTTTCCATCTCCTCAAGCCGTTTCCATCTAGCGAATCCACTAATCCTGACACTGTACGTCATCAGATTCGCACGCATTTTCCTCGCTTCCAACATGCCCAACAGCGAGTCGACCTTGTCGAACCTTCCCGCCTTTCCGTAAATGCTGATCAGTGTGTTGTATGTAATGATGCTCGCCTGAAGACCTCGTTGCTGCATGTCCTCCCAAATCTCTTCCATTCTGTCCAGCTTCCCCATTTTTCCGTACGAGTCCAGCAAGATATTGTACGAGATGACGTCAGGCTCGCAGCCAGCCTGTTGCATCTCCCCGCGCACTGCGTCGATCTTCTCAAACTTACCGAGCCGCCCGTATATTTTTAGCGCCACATTAAACGCCACTATGTCGCACGCCACCCCGTCTCTCTTCATCCCCTCCCACACCTTCTCCACCTCTTCCACTAGGCCCAGCCGGCTGTAGCAGTCCATCACTGTTGCGCACATGATCGCATTCGCGGTACATTTCCGCCGCATGGCTTCCTCAAACACCATAATGGCTTTCTGCAGCTTGCAAGCCTTTCCTAAAGAGGAAATCACCATTGCGTAGATGTAAACGTCGGGTTCAATGCTCTCTTTCTTCATCAGTTGGAACAGATGCTCAACATGATCGACCCTGTCCGCCTGCCGCATTACATCAATCATTGCACCATATGTTTTCACCTTTGGCATATACCACCTTTGACTCCTCATCCAGTTGAAAACCTGCAGAGAAACCAGGTTTAGCAGAGAAACCAGGTTTCATCATCAGGACATAGTAACCACACATATAGCACAACTTAACTTGCTAGAGGAACAGACCACAACGAAGCACTTCCCTAAATGATACTATGAATCTGAGTGGATCTACCCCTGCTTCAGAAAATGGAAGCGGTACCCTGTTCAAAATTCAATAGTATTATGTATCACAGATTCAAAGAACCTATACATGGAAAAGCCATCCACTGACAGAACTGTATTCACAGACCATTGCGACTCTCTCTCTCTCTCTCTCTCTCTCTCTCTCTCTCTCTCTCTCTCTCTCTCTCTCTCTCTCTCTCTCTCTTCATGGAAAAGACGGACCGCCCGGGCAACCAAGGTGATCCGGGCAGCCTGGTGATGAACACGGATCAAAACCAAAAAAAAACATTTTTTTGCCTCCCTCCCCCCCTTTTCACAAGCCCCCCCTCCTCCCCCCCCTGGTTAAGACCAGGTCCAGACCCATATCGTGCCCAGAATCTGGATGGGTCCAGTGTCAGGGTCCACGGTAGCCATGATTAAAAAAAAAAAAAAAAAAAAAAAAAAAAGAAGGATAAAAAGAAGATCTTCAAATGTTTATGAAGTTCACATACATTAGGACAAGGTGATCTTTTACTCACTTCAAGTGCTCGCTGCCAATCGCCTTTTTTCCGAAAGAACCCTATTATGAAATGCACGTCCCGCGGGAATAAAACGGACGACCATGGCTCCAGTGTATTTAGGATTTGCTCCTTCGTAGACGCGGTTTCTAACTTGGGGATGATTTCTGCCAACAAAAGATTTGCATGCCCTTTCAATGCCTTCTCTTCCGGTTCTGGCGGATCTCGTCCCCCTGTCGCTTGGACAACAAGGTCGGTCGAAGACGGGCGATCCATAACATTCCCTCTGCCTTCTTGCGGTGGACCCTCGGTGACGCTCGCTTGTCGATCATGCCCTGTGTGGCAGCTGTTTGTCCCATGCATCTGCCTCCGCTCTCCCATGTGACAGTTGGCCGCGGAGGAGAAGAGGGCGGTGCCTTGGTGCCAGCAACATGGCAGGGAACGCGCTGATCGTGGATTTGCCGCGGCCGATGACGATGCAGCGCCGAGCGTCGCCGAAGAATGTTTGACGGCGCAGGAAACGTGGTAGGACGCAGAACGGCAAAGCTCGACGAGCAACCGCCAACCGCCATCAGGAAGCGCGCAAGGATGAGCGGCAGCAATGGCTGTGGATTGTACACCAGTCCCAACGAAATTGCTACCCCCAAACCAAGACGAACGCACTGGCAAATAACGTCCAGAAACCAACGTGCGAAAACCAGCTGATTCATGTCTTTCGCCATCGTTCCCGGTGCCTGTGGACGCAACCCTTGTGCCACAGAAAAGGCACGTTTCTCTGATATCCCGGCACCTGACGATCGAACCACTGTCTTAAAGTTGGGACGCCCAGGAGTTAAAGTCGTGCACAGATTAACACCGACCAATGCAAGCAAAGCACAGCGTCAAACACACACGTACGAGGGAGGGTTAAATTGTTTCCACTCTCACCCACACATAGGACACTTTGAGAGACAGCAACAAAGAGATAAGACCGTGACGCCGACAAGACAGGGGGGGGGCGGAGAGAGGAGGAGGAGGAGGAGGAGGAGGAGAGACGACAATACAACCTAACCTACATGTAAGTAAGTAAACCCTAAAACTTGAAAAAAGTTGGGAAAAAAAAAAAAAAAGTGCATTACTGCTCCATTCATTGGCAAAGGTTAGAAGCCGGCGTGCCACACGATATGTCTCGGTAGTTTTTATTTAATTTTTCGTTTTTTTTTCTAATGGTTTGTTAATATAGTGTGCACTCTATGGAATGATGCAATTTTTGGTTAAAAAGGGCTTCTGGTTTTCTTATAAATAGCATTAAAAAAACGCTGAAATTATGGGTCTCCGTTAACCGCCTCTCGGTATTTTCAGCCTCTGCCTCTTGCTGCTGAATCAGCGCACGCATGTGGTGGTATGCTTGAGGCTCCACCTGGTTGTATATAACTACCATCGTCCCCTGAACATAACGCATATGCATTGTATTCGAGTGTTTCAAAAAGAAATCGTCGACTCGAATAGAACGCAGTATTCGAAAATTCCATCTGGTGGAACAGAACGCACATGCGTTAAGTGTTTGGGGGAAGACGGTAGCATGCATTCTTGCTCCCGAAACTCTTTCCTAAAACTCCAACAATTTTGCTCCTCCTTTCAAAGCCCAAATAAAAGGGGTTAATGCTCCAGCATCAAGAGAATGGGTGGTTATTACAAGTAAATGACTTTTAAGATCAGGGTAAATGATTTTTTTTTTTTTTTTTTAAACAGTAAATGATTTTTAAGATCAGTGTAAATGATTTTTAAGATCAGGGTAAATTATTTTTAAGATCAGGGTAAATGATTTTTAAGATCAGGGGATAATTTCACAAAATGACACTCGGAAAATAAATACTGACCACTAAACGGTACGAGATTCTGTTTTACGGTTTAAAATTTTTAATTAAGATAAGACAAAATAAGGTAAGAAGATTCTAAGAAGATTCGAAGAAGGTTCGAAGAAGATTCCAAGAAGATGCAAGTCCTTACATGGTCCACAGTGCTCCACACGGGTTTGGATACTTCACTGCAGAAGGTAAGAAGATTCTAAGAAGATACCAAGTTTGGTTATTATCTGCTTATATGGAAAAACTGCACTCACTTGTACTGGTACGGTACGGGTTCAATTGTACATGTACGAAGTTTCTAGGAAGAAACCAGGTTCTTTCTCAGAACATACAGTACTCACACACACACAAAAAAAAAAAAAAAAAAAAAACGTTGAGACGAGATCCCCAGGTCCTTTTTTGCCCATTCACTACATCAGCAACCTCTACCATCTTAAAAGTGGTAGCTCCGTTCAGCACTTGACACAACACCATTAAGGGTAAGCAACCGTAAGATTAGAATTGGATAAAAGGAAACTTGTCATCAGCGATCACGTGCCCAATTAGAATGGACAGTCCGCTGTTCGATCCATAACATCAACACTGCAAGTCGGAACAAAGCCGCCCACGATACGTTCAGCCTTAACCACATTTCAAAAAGAAGACACTTTCTAAAACCACGTCCAGAAAAGAGAGAGAGAGAGAGAGAGAGAGAGAGAGAGAGAGAGA